AAATGCACTTCCAATGTCAATGGACCTCACAGAGACCTGCTCCAGAAACTGTCTTGTGAGTTCCATAGCCTTGGTTTGAGATCATAAGCCAAAGCCTTCTATTGTTTCCACAAAAACAAACCCACTCTGCTAAACATGCTTATGAGAGTTGCTCCATGTTAAAACTTTTTATTATGCAATTTGCATCACTGTTATTATATTCCAGAAACCACAAAACTAGTAATATACTAAAACTTCCTTCAGGCCCTCTCCTAACCTGACCTTTTCCTCCAAACACTATAAAAGTATTTTCTCCTTTCTTTCATTTTTGAAACAAATATGATGGTACTTCAAAGTTTATAGAGCAGAAAGCTTGTGGCACAACATATTAAGCTGTTGCTTGTGACACTGGCATCCTGTATCAGAGGATTAGTTTGAGTCCTGGTTGCTCTGCTTCCTATCCAGATCCCTGTTAACATGCCTGGGAAAGCAGCCAAACATGGTGCAAGTAGTTGGGTCCCTGCAACTTATATGAGTAACCCAGATGGAGATCTGGGCTTCTGACTTTGGCCTGGACCAGCCCTGACTATACAGGCCATTGGGGAAGTGAACCAGTATATGGAAGATATTCCCCTCTCTCTTTTATCTCTGTCAGTCTTTCAAATAAATAATAAATACTTTTTAAATTATGGAAAATGGAGTTAAAATGTTTATTTGGATGCAAAAAATAGAAATCTATGAATAATTTTCATAATATTTTCCATTTGATGACTCCTTATTTACATGACTTTGAAACAGTTTTGCAGTTTTGGGGCTGGCACTGTGGTGCAGCAAGTTAATGTCCTGGCCTGAAGCGCTGGCATCCTATATGGGTGCCTGTTCGAGACCCGGATGCTCCACTTCTGATCCAGCTCTCTGCTGCGGCCTGGGAAAGCAGTAGAAGATGGCCCAAGTCCTTGGGCCCCTGCATCCACGTGGAAGACCTGGAAGAAGCTCCTGGCTCTTGGCTTTGGATCTGCATAGCTCTGGCTGTTGCAGCCATCTGGGGAGTGAACCAGCAGATGGAAGACCTCTCTTTCTCTGTGTCTCTACCTCTCTCTGTAAATCTGTCTTTCAAATAAATAAAATAAAAAGTTTTGCACCATTTTCCTCAAACTGAAGCCCCCTGGCACAGATCACACAAACCCTACCTAAAGATTTTCCTATAATTTTTTCAGTTACATTGCTACAGCAATCTGTAGAACCACCCATCTGATCATTCGGTGACCAGACTTTGCTCATCTTTCCATTTTCTTACCTTTTCATTAGGATTATTCTAATTCCAAACTAGCCTTTACCTTTTACATTTTGTTTATTTCTGGCCCTTAATCTTGGTGTCTGAGTGTTTATGCCTCCTCTCTCTTCTTTCCTACCAGATACCTTCATTCTCAAGGCACCTGGGGGCACCATGGGGCACTGTACGTGTATTTCTGTTTTTGAACATGTACTATCCTCCTTGCCTTAAACTCCCATCCTATCTTATTCAACTAGGGATTGCTACTATGTGTGCTTTTATTCAAATGTTTCCTAGTTGGTAGGTTGCTGGAAATCTAGCTCTTTGCCTTCCTGTGTCAATGTCCTCTTGCAATGTGACTGTGAATCTCCTCTCACCAAGAGGTGGAGTCTATTCCCACATCTCTTAAATCTGTGTCCTTGTGGTCTGCTTTGGCCTGCCACAGGTTGATTATTCTGAACTTCAAGAAGCCTTGCATCAATGTTTTTGTTCATTTTGTCTCTCTCTTTACAAATGCGTTTATTCAATTTATCAGAGAGAGAGAGAGAAAGAGAGAGACAGAGAATCAGACAGATTTTCCTTTCTGGTTCACTTCCAAAATTTCTACAGTTGAGGCTGAGCCAGGTGGAAACTAGAATCCTAGAACTTAGTCTAGGTCTCCCACATGGGTGACAAGCCTGCTAGGGAACTCAGTTGCTATCATCATAACCAGTCACTCATCAGATACATGAATGAAGCAATCTTGGATTATCTAGTCACCAACCAAAGTGTTGACTGATATCAAACCACTGAGCAAAATCAGTTAGGATCAGTTAAGCCTAACCCAGACCAGCAGAACTCCCTAACTCATCTATAGACTGATGAGCAACAATGATTCTGCTCATTGAGTTAAGTTACAGGGAGGGCTATAGGGTTATTTATTATGCAGTAACAGGTTATGATTTATTTATTTATTTGACAGGCAGAGTTAGACAGTGAGAGAGAGAGAGACAAAGAGAGAAAGGTCTTCCTTTTTCTGTTGGTTCACCCCCCAAGTGGCCGCTACTGCCGGCGCGTTGCAGCCAGTGCACTGCGCTGATCCGAAGCCAGGAGTCAGGTGCTTCCTCCTGGTCTCCCATGCGGTGCAAGGCCCAAAGACCTGAGCCATCCTCCACTGCATTCCCGGGCCACAGCAGAGAGCTGGACTAGAAGAGGAGCAGCCGGGACAGAATCCGGCGCCCCGACTGGGACTAAAACCCGGGGTGCCGTCACAGCAGGCAGAGGATTAGCCTATTGAGCTGCGGCACCAGCAACAGGTTATGATTTTGCTCTGGTTCATGTCTCCAAGTGTAAGAAGACAGTGGTATCTTTTTTTTTTTTTTTTTTGACAGGCAGAGTGGACAGTGAGAGAGAGAGACAGAGAGAAAGGTCTTCCTTTGCCGTTGGTTCACTCTCCAATGGCCACTGCCAGCACACTGCGGCTGGCGCACTGCGCTGATCCGAAGGCAGGAGCCAGGTGCTTCTCCTGGTCTCCCATGGGGTGCAGGGCCCAAGCACTTGGGCCATCCTCCACTGCACTCCCTGGCCACAGCAGAGTGCTGGCCTGGAAGAGGGGCAACCCAGACAGAATCCGGCGCCCCAACCGGGACTAGAACCCGGTGTGCCAGTGCCGCAAGGCGGAGGATTAGCCTATTGAGCCACAGTGCCGGCAACAGTGGTATCTTGCAGTTGATCTTTGTGTAGCTCTGTACTTACCTTGACAGGTACCCAAAACCCTAATATTGATTATTGACCAAGACTAGGGTGAAATGTATTAGCTAGTGATTTATAATGTGCTATTAAAAGTCCAAAACTCCTCCAGGGGCATCCTGTACTAGTCTGAGTGCTCTTCAATGAAACTGTCGATTGATGATATGTACTTGTTTATCTTTTCACCAATCCAACTTTTAGCTACCTGAGCTATGAGATAAAAAATAGCCCCTCTGTAAGCCTGAGCCATGGCTCCCCAGAGACCAAGGCATCACACATGTATCTTGGTGGTTCTCGATCAGAAGATGTACTACATCATCCCATGTGATGGAGCAAGGACCATGGGAGCTGTGCCTAGTAGTTCCAGACTTCTCTGATGTTTTACTGTGCTTGGGATCCATGATCCATCAATGGCTGTTGGACAACTTGGAACTACCTGTCAATGTCATTGCATGGATTCCTCACCTTCACACTCCTCCTGTTAATTTTGCATATGATTATACACAACAAGATGTGAAGCCTTCACTGCCAAGTGTGCTAGTTCCTCCAACAAACATTTCTTAAATCCATATATTCTCATTGTTTTAAAACATCAATTTTAATTTACATTTTGCTTTCTCCTTTGATATTCTATCCAGAAATAAGCCAGTATGAAAGTGTAGTAGTAATGTCTTGCTTGACTGCCCTAAGCCACTAGTCCTTAAAAAACTCATGCTTTTATCTAGAAAGGCACCTTTCACACAGGCTACCTCTCAATGCTTTGAGTAACAATGTTCACAGAAATGAGAAGCCATGCAGGAAGCTGGAGAGGAGTTTCAAATCCATCTGGAAGGCTCACATCTCTCAGTGATACAATATAAACCATCTAAAATATGAGACTTCAGGGAAGAATTTTATTTCTTTTCACAACTGGATATCAACATGCTGTAAGTATCAGAAGCATGTCACAAAAATATACATCATGAGCACTGAAATAAATCACAATTTGGCTATTGTGTGTTAAAACCCAAGTGGACATCAGACCAAAGTATGGAAATTAGAAATTAGAGCCTTGGTGGTCATCTATGTCTAAAACAGATCCAGAATGTCTTTATAGTTCATCTATTTACAACACTACAATACATTTCCTAAGTCGCATTTCTTACCAGTGTCTTACGTGGGTGAGATTGCCCTGTTTTCCACTATTAAAACTCCTATACTCTTGCCACTTAGGAAACATTATACAGGTTGAGGATCCTTCATTCATAAAGGTTAGGGATCAGAAAGGTTTTATATTCTGGATTTTAAAACGCTTTTCTTGGCATGGACATTACCAATGTAGGATAGATAAGACATTTCTACTCCCAAAATTCAAAATCTGAGGTACTCAGAAAGTTTTGAATTTTAGAGCATTTCTGATGTAGAGCCTTTTGAGTAGGGAAGCTCAATCTATGTAAACTCTGCCACTGAATGGCTTTCTGATGGTTTCTGTCATTGGGATAAAATCCAGATCCTCTTCTTCATCTAAAAAGCTGTCCAACTTTATCTCCTCCATGAAACTTCTTGAAATTCTGCTTCTTAAAGCAACACAGGCTTTTTCTCAAGCCAAGAACATACCACTCTGGATGGCACAGGGAAGGTCCAATCTTTCAGCCTTACTTAGCAGTCTCTTTTCAATCCCTCAGTTTTCAGCTCAAATTCCCAGAATGCCCTGCTGTGGCATACTGAGTAGCCCCCAGTCATCCTTTATCTCATTGACCTGTTTACCATGTTCATAAACATAATAAGTGGCTACCAGTTTCCTTCCCACTTATTTACTTGCTTTTCCCTTCTACTAGAATGCCAATTCTCCCAAGACCATGTACTTGCCTCTTTTCAGTCCAACATTATATTCTATGTGTCTAGAAAAGTTCACAGGCACGCAAAAGTTAACCAACGAATAGGCTGTGAATAAATCCGGATACCTTCCTGCTTTTATAGAATCGCAGAATTTAAAATAAAATTGAGAAAGGCAAAAACACAATGCGGTTTGTTTCCCTACCTTTTTTCGATGGCTGTGGATGAATTAAAGACTCCAGAGGAGTGTGGCTATTTATGGTCTGCAACTTTTTGTTGGAGTTCTCCAGTTTTCTTCATTTTTCCTCAGAGATCATTTTGGCAAGGAGTGGAAGCATTTCTCCACAGTATATTTCTGTAACAACATGGTAACATGACTCAGAATGCCTCCAACATTATGTTCTGTTTAGAAATAAATATATAGCCTCTTTTCCTTTATATCTCCTACATAAGGCACATGCTTCCTTCACAGGCATGTAGTCACACACTCATATATTATTACCTGGACACTCCCAGGTGGTGTTAGACTCTCATTAGCACCTTACTTTCAACCATACTAGTCCTTCCTCTACTTTATGAAATCATTCCATTGTGAATTTGTCTTCTGAGTAGATCAGAAACCTTTAAGGGAAAGGAACTTCCCCTTTGGTTCCCTAAGCTATGGAACCTTGCCAACTATCTGGTAATTGTATATTTTCAATACAGTCATTTTTCATTATTTGCAGTAATACTTAGGTTCTATAAAGTCACCACAAATATTGAGTTAGGAAATACTGATCCAATCAATGCTCTTATGGGAAATACAGAATTAGACTGCTGCAAGTCTCTAGCCCTAACATTTCCATCAATTAATCAAGATATAACCTTGTTTTATGTGTGTTTCTGTTGAGACACCTTATTTAGTGTGTCTCACTAAATTAATATTGGGTTAATATTGAACTCACGGCCAACAGCACTGTAACTCGAACAAAACTTATCTAACACATCTATTTTCTCAGCACACTGCAGCCTTTTGTGCTCAGGACCATGAGGAAGCATCACAGCACGGAACTGGGAGTGGGTGCAAATGTGAAGTAGCAAAGTCACCATTATAAAGCACAAAAAATGTGGGGAAAATGAGAAAGTGAATTTGCAAATACAATACCCAAATACAGATAATGAGGATTGACACACTGGCTGTTTTAAAATTCTATGTAAATCAAATTGCTAACCTTGATTGTAGTTCAGCACAACATTGCCATTTAAATAACAACAAAAACAAAATACTACAGATGTGGTAGGAATGTAGGAATGGACTAAATACAGATTCCACATGTTTGATTAAAGATCCAGGAACTAAAAGCAATTCTTGTCTTCTATGCTACTGAAAAAGACAAATTCCAGAATTCAGGTCTTTTCTTCTACCTGATATTAATTTTGCTCATCCAATTTTCAGACAAGTCTAAAAGAAATTTCCCTGAAAAGAATTATAGGTTGATACTCTACCTGGTCCACTACAGGTCAATCTAAACTACTCCCAGAAGACTTTTTTTTTTTCTTCCTTAGAGAATAAGAAGAAAAATTTGGTTTTACTTTGTTATATACATCAGTAAACTGTAGTGATATAATGAACATATTTAGCTGATTTGTATTTTCTACAAAAAAAAAAAAAAAGGTCAGTGCTTAGTAAGATCCCTCCATTGTTTATATCAAAAACTATCTACTTTCTTGTGCATATGAAAAAGACTACATTAGGAATATGAGTTTATATTTTAAAGTGGTTACAAATATTTTCCAATTGTCTATCAATATTTTAAAGTGGTTAAATGTAACCTTGATTTATTTTTAGTTCATGGAAAAGTAATTTCTTGCTAAAATTACCTTTTTTAAATCATGCCCTATGATTTAAATGATCATTTCTAAAAATGGCAGAACTTGCTTAAAAGCAGTAGCTTGAACAAATAACAAGATATCCTAGAAGGGAGTTCTGAAAGCTCAGTTATTCTTACATGTTTTAAATATAACTTAAAATTAGATGAAATGCAATTAGACATAATTTCTTTTCAGAGTATTTGATAGTCTCATCATGTATTTCAAAATATTAAAAGCTATGTCACCTTGGTAGAGAATGCAGCTTTAGCATTGATAATCATATGGGCCTATTGCATAACAATAACATATTTTACAAAGTAATGTCTTAATTCAGAAAAATAAGACTAAGGAAATGCATGCTGTTCACTTTTAAAATTTATTAGTACTATTACTTTCTATATAATTAACCACTTGTGCTTTGAGTTTATTACTTGAGTTATTAAATTTCCTATGTATTCTGATAATAATCAGATAATCAGATTAATCAAGGAAGTACTCAACATGATAAAATTATTTTTTAAGATTTAGATGAAATTATTTTAACACATGCCAGATCATCACTAAAGCTCTCCTCTCAAATTTTTTTCTCTTTAAACATTCCACTAAGAAATCTTCATATCTCTGATAATGCCATATCACCAATACTGACTTTAAAAAAACAATCTTAATCTACAATAGAATACTTTTGGATAATGGCTATATCATTCTGGACCTGTTGATAATGTACATGCTAATAGGAATGCATTGATACTGGATAAATTTAAAGTTTGCATTTCTAACCTTCAAGGGAAAGAGGTCGCTTTTGACAGACTAGTTCCACTATGTACCAGGTATACTATTTGAGGTGATAGCAACCAGTATTATTCTTTGGGATTATTTACTTGGAGTCTCCTTTTTTAAAAAAATAAAATTGGGCTTTTTTGTTTGATTAAAAGCGAGCGAGAGGGAAAGATAGAGAGAATATCTCTTGTCTACTGATTCACTCCTCAAATGACTGCGACAGTTGGGTCTGGGATGGGCTTGAATCAGGGGCTCAGATCTCAATCCAGGTTTCCCACATTGGTGGAAAAGACCAAAGTACTTGAGCCATCTCTGAGGCTTCCCAGAGTGTACATTAGCAGGAAACCAGAAAGGAAGTGGAGTCAAGATTCAAACCCAGGCACCTTGAAACAGGATGCAGGCATCCCAAACAGACACCAAATTCTCTGTGCCACAATTCTCACTGCCACAGAGTATCATTTAAGATGAAATAAAAATAGTAATTGGCCAATAGTAAATAGCAAAAAATGTTAGACCAAGTGTTTTACTAAGCGCAAAACCCATCGAAGCAGCATTTTAGTCATTGAATTTAGTTCCTAAAGCCAAATTCAGTGACCTGCCACCTGTGAATAATCTTGGGGAAAATGTCCTACTTACATTTCAGATTATGAACAAAATCAGCATTCCTGTGGTTGTGTATGTATGTGTGTTATAAAAATAGAGATACTGGGGCCGGCGGTTTGGCGCAGTGGGTTAATGCCCTGGCCTGAAGTGCCAACATCCCATATGGGCGCCAGTTCGAGACCCAGCTGCTCCACTTCCGATCCAGCTCTCTGCTATGGCCTGGGAAAGCAGAAGATGAACCAAATTCTTGGACCCCTGTACCCACATTGGGAAACCTGGAAGAAACTCCTGGCTCCTGCCTTCGGATTGGCACAGCTCCGGCCTTTGCAGCCAATTGGAGAGTGAACCAGTGGATGGAAGACCTCTCTCTCTCTCTCTCTCTCTCTCTGCGTAACTCTGACTTTCAAATAAATAAATAAATCTTAAAAGAAAATAGAGATAAAGTCATAAGAGAAGCACAATGTAATTTTCACATAAGTTTAGCCATTTTGTGCATTTTATTTTCAATAATTCTCTGATAATTTAGCCTCTCATAATTGGACATGTTGATTAACAGGTGCTTATTCATGGTATGAACAGGATGAAAAAATATGGAACAAGTCGGGCAGCTGTTTAGTCTAGCATTTAAAATGTCAGTGAGGACACACATTCTGCAGCAGAGTGTCTGGTTTCAAGTCCTGCCTGTAGCTTCTGATTTCAGCCTTCTACCAGTGTAGACCCCGGTAGTCAAGAAGGCTTGAGCAGTTGGGTCCCTGCATTGGCCAGTTACTGATATTTGTGGAATGAATTAGTAAATGGGAGCTCAATCTCTCTGTTTCTCTTTGCCCGTCAAAGAAAAACATAAGCCGCCGGCGCCGCGGCTCACTAGGCTAATCCTCCGCCTAGCGGCGCCGGCACACCGGGTTCTAGTCCCGGTTGGGGCGCCGGATTCTGTCCCGGTTGCCCCTCTTCCAGGCCAGCTCTCTGCTGTGGCCAGGGAGTGCAGTGGAGGATGGCCCAGGTGCTTGGGCCCTGCATCCCATGGGAGACCAGGAAAAGCACCTGGCTCCTGGCTCCTGCCATCGGATCAGCGCGGTGCGCCGGCCGCAGCGCGCCGGCCACGGTGGCCCATTGGAGGGTGAACCAACGGCAAAGGAAGACCTTTCTCTCTGTCTCTCTCTCTTACTGTCCACTCTGCCTGTCAAAAAAAAAAAAAAAAAAAAAAAGAAAGAAAAACATAAGCCTTTTTCAATTATAAAAAAATGCATCAAAATGGCACCTGACTCTGAGGTATGGATGTTATTAGGTTCACTGGATGATAATGAAAAAACTCTAAAATTTTATTTTATACAATACAGAACAAAGATTTACCATTAATCATTCTAGCATAAATAGTTCTAATCCCTGTGGGTTTTCTTTATCTCCTCACACACAAGGACAACAGCATTTACGTAGATACTTTTTGGTGGCTCACAGGCGGGATGACATAGGTCCCATCAACCTTGAAATCTTACAGTGTTTGCAAGATGATTCACCCTTTCAAGTACTTCACATTGTACATACAGGTGCAAATTTGTGAATCGTAGGTTTGATATGTGGTCTGTGCCATTATGTTAAGAAAACAGGACTTTAATTTTTCTCTCTCAAAGAGAGCAGGCTTATAACCTTGGCCTCATTAAAATGAATTCTCTCTAAATGAGTTCTAAAGGGTTCTGAAATCATGCAAGATGCTAAATCCCACCAGGTTAGTCTTCCAATAACTAAGAGGCAATAGGATGACAGGAGATAAAGTGTCTAATATATGAAGAAAACCTAACACACAATTTATTATTTTAACCTATTGTTTCTATGGGGACGAGTGTTTCCAAAAGAAATTAATATGGAACATCCTTCTTAAAAATGTATCTTCACCATCATGCCATTTTACAATAGCTTTTTCTTCCTGTATATGTATACCATATAACATGGATAACTCCATACTTTCTGCTACATGTTGTACCTCCTGTGTAATAACTAAACTCCAGATATACAAAAGAGTTTCATTACCAGGTTTGACAGTGTAAAACCCAAGCAGAAAACAAGTTGGCAAAGGTGGTTTAATATAAACCTCTGAGGATTTGAAAACAACATCACATTTGTTTC